CGAAGACTTAACGCCTTTGCTTGGCTGTAAAGGTCATCATCATCCAAAACTCACCACTTCCTTCAATATAGAGCTCATAACTCATGCATGGCTCACTCCTAATGTCCAAGATGGGATTTTTATGGATCTATAACACTTTATACACTGAATATGGACAGATTAAGGTCTATAGAGCTCCTTTGCTCATAAAGTCTCCACCTTTGGGAAAAAAAACCCTAGAAATGGTCCATCATGCACAAATCAAAAAAATTGAGAAAGCTTTGAGCTTTTACCTCCAACTGATGCTCCAACCTCTGAAAAGCTCAGATCCAAGGCTTGCACTCCAACTCTAGCTTCTTCAATGACACCTTCTTCTCTTTAAAGGCACACAAGAACATTGTCAAGCTCAAACACACATACACACAGGATCTAGAATGAGGGTTTGGCACACTTAGGGTTTTGCTCTTTGGAAATGGTGGCAAAAAGTGAGGCCAAAACGTTCCTTATATAAGGCTCACCCCCACAATTAGGGTTTCCATCTGAACCTACTACACCCATCATACACTATGGTACGCCCACCGTACTGGGTAGACTCCGCGTCAAGAACACGCTCATGAGTACACACAGCGTACTGTCCATTACGCCCATCATACTCAAAAGCCAAACTTTTCTTTCAAGGACTAATTTTGACAACTTAGGGAAAGAAAAGGATCAAATGAATATACTTGAATTTCGGGATGTTACAATTATAAAAATTTGGATGGATGGGAAAAAATCGTTACATGGGTTTCATCGAAAGTCATTCGCTCCATTAGTGGTCTAAGAGATTCCAAATACTCTAGTGAATTTCTTAGAAAGTCATGAACTATAGTATTAATAAAAATAAAGTTAGTATTGTTTTTTTGTGTATATGTGAAAGTTGAAATTGAAATATTGAAAAAGAAATAAAAATGAAAAGGAGAAAAAGTTCCACAAATATTAAGTGATGCAATAAATTTAATTATATTTTTAATATATATATATATATATACACACACACACACACACATACACACACACACAATAACAAGTTGAGTCACTTGGAATTTGGCAATAACTTTTGATATGAATGGGGTAATAAAAATGCATAGGTGGTAGGAACTCAAAAATGAATGTTGTTAAAAATAAGTAGGGAATGTTTATGAGGATTATGAATATTTAGGGCTTGGTAAGTTCTTAGGATTTCTTTAGACACAAATATATGTATTGAAGTGAAATGTAATTGGTGAGTTCAAGTTTGATTGTTTTGTTTGATATTCGTGAGCAAAGTTTTGATGTGATGTATTCAAAATAACGAGTTTCGCTTGGGGACAATCAAAAGGTAAGTGTGCGATATTTTGATATTGTTATATGTATTAATATATTTAGTACAATGTTTAAGTATATTTAGCTTCATTTTGGTTAATTATTACGATATGTGGTACTTATAAAGTGTAAAATATATTTTGTAGCCAAAATGGACATTCACAATGGAAATAACCAAATTGGAAAAAGTTGGAAACTTGGAGGGTTGACGTATAAATCAAGAGGGAGAGAAGAGGAGAAAAATGCAAACTAAAGATACCATGTCATGGCATTTATTGTTCCACGACATAGAGAATAAACCCTTCGTGATGAATCTGTGAAGAGGCTTAGTGCTTACCGCATAAAACTGTCTCCATGGCGTGGACGCCTATTCTCCACGACATGGCGCTTAGTTTAAGGAAACTACTGATATAAATTTTTAGGTCAAAATTTAGGACATGCGACATAGGCTGTGATTTACAGAGACTAAGAACGATCAAGAACTTCTGAGAAACCCTTCGAAGGCTGGAGAACAATTGGAGATCAAGTTTTAAAGAGATTTACGGAAAGAACATAATACATTCATTTGATTTTCTAGTTACATAATGTATAATCTAGTTAATTTTATTTTTACTTGTGTTTCTGCTATAATTATGGGATAATAACCCTTTAATTTCATTTGGTGATGACAAACCCTAATATTATGAGTTGATTTTGTTATTTATGGATTTATTTATGTTGGTTTAACTTGTGTTTGATAGACCTATAATCCTAACATGTTAAAGTTCTAATCTTTATTGCTTTACCTACAAGTTTTTTGTAGTTAGATGATCACTCTTATTGCATAAACGTAATATCTAGTTGTTTATAAATATTGAAATGCTAGATCTAGTGATTGAACAAATCCTAGAGTTAAGTGGTAAAAGTTAGTAACTTTGATTGTGTTATAAATAATTATTGATTCATAATATGTGCTTGTATTGCTTGTATTGCGTGTCTTGATTATCGATAGGTAATCATTAGATATCATTCTAATTCTAATTATCCTTAAAATCAATTTAATGTCCAAGTTGTGCTAGGCCACTGCATAATAGCTTATAAATTAGTAATTACTAGGAATTGGAACATGATAACTAGTAAATTAATAATTGGGTAACCAACATATTTAGGCCATTAGAAATCAACCATAAGAAAAAAAAGGATTCAAAACTAAACGAAAGTACTCTTAAATCATGAATGAAAATTGTTTTTCTATTTGCTTGCTTATGTTTAAAGTTTTAGTAGTTACTTGATTGTTATTTGCTTGATTTTAAGTTACTCGTCTTGTAAATCAATAACCGCCCCACTCAAAGTTATTTCTTTTTGTTTAATAAATAGCATTTATTTTATGTTTAAAAATTTCGTTGTCTATGTTCGACTTCTTACTGCTTTACCATACTACTACGTGATTAGGTACACTTCGTAATTTTGTTTTAGCTGACAAAGTTATGTAGGAGTATAAATTTAAAACTTTTAGTGAATTTAAAACACATCACAACATGATCAAACTTTTAGTTGCACCGGTTAGGTCTTTGCTTTAACCAATATAATTACTTATCCAACTTTTACATACTTTATGGTCATTTCCAGACATAATGAAACCCTTTGTTTTTTCATATATACCTATTTCTCTAACTCACTAGTTTTGTTTTAACATTCATTGTTGAATAACTATATTGTAAATTGCAACCAATGAAATTAGTAATCTTATAATATGAATACAAACAACTAGTGCGTAAGTATAAAAGAAGTTAATACTTATTTTTTTTTTTGTCTAAAACTTTGAATGAACAATCGAGCCTTAAATTTGTCAATTAATCAATCGAATTTCATATTTTTCTTAAGAATCCATTTGCAACCTAATGGTTTGTAACGTGAAGATTACACAAGACCTACATATAATTTCATATCATGGATTCCAATCATCATTAATGGATTCTTTCTAGAAACCAACATCTCGAGATTTCATTACATCTTCAAATGTTTTAGGATCTTATGAAATACAAGGAACAACTGTTCCTTTTTGTCTTTCAACATTTGTTTGAAGTCCTTCCATGAGGGGGCAATTTGTATATAACACTTGATATAGAAATGGATTCATCCATCTATATTTTGTGTTGTTCAAATTTTCCAAGTATACATATGATCTGATTGTACCGTAATCCTTCATTTTATAATTGTTAAAACTACTTAGAAGGAACTTCTTGATTGGAATGTCCTTAGCTATATACTATGATTCTAATTGTTCTTACGGATCCTTTGTAGATTTAATTTTTTTATAAAAGTCAAAGAGGGAGTCAATCATGTCATTCAAGATGTGTCGCAACAGATGTAGTCCTCATTTCCCCATTTGCTCTTTCAGGTGTGAGGATGCTATCAGTTGGACCCTGCCAATGTGAAGCCCTTTTAAACCCTACCAAGAGCACTACCATCGGACCTGTCGTGTTCCCGATTTCACTTTAGCTTATCTGAATGTTTACTTTGTACTTCTGATCTTGGGTTGTACCTAAAGCTGAACTTAACATGTCTCAAGTTAATCCTAACTATACTAAATGAAATGATGAAACTAAAATCACCAACATTCATTCTCATTTATCCGAACTAATTAGTGTAACCTTTGATTAACTTACAAAAAAAAAAAAAAAAAAAAAAAAAAAAAAAAAAAAAAAAAAACTCATACATAAATGAAAATAAATGCTAAAACTTCTCAATTGGGCTAAAGTCGTGTGTCGAATGGCCTAGAATACCTTGAAATTTAACAAAATAACAAAATATGATCATGTCACTTGTCGTTGATTTTTGTCTTTTTCTATGGTAGTCAATTTTTGAATGCAACCATTTCACTAAAGGCACTTTACATTATTTTTACCATATCACATACCATGTTATTTTTCACACCACTTCATTTTTGTTAAGAAATGATCACCACACACCACACCAACCATGTTTTTATTGGTTATTTTTTTTTATTTTTTTTTTTTAATCTTTCTCTCATGTCCACAGGTGTTGAGCTCCTCCTCATCGCATCTTAACATAACATGGGTAGGTGGTGTTTCAAAACCCTTAACGTTGTTAAGTCGGGTACCACGTATGATTCTCCACGTACTAGAGGACATATATCGCATACTCTAAAGCACCATAATTGCTAAAAGTGACTTTTTTTTTCACAAACATTATAAATACAACAAGTGCCCTTTAGTAATTTTTTTCTTGTCAAATTTTAATGATAATCAATCATATTTCGGAAGGTTTGCGTTGAATTTGTTTTTGGAAGGTTTTGTGTTGTCATTCAAACATTACCTTTTACCGTTTAACACTTATTCTTGAATTTAATTGTTGCGAATAAGTTGACCATTGTATATCTCTTATAAATGATCCCATTGTCATATTCATAGTCGTTTTCACTAGTTTTGTGTTATTCTCAACTTAAGAGACATGTGAGAAAGTGTCTTTAGACATATTAAATTTTGTCTCTTCCATTAAGTGACTAAGGGACACTTGTTTAGTTGATTGAAATACCTTTTAAATATGGACCTAAAGAAAATGGTGCATATATGATAACAGATCTGAACCCTCTAAACCCTAAAGAGATAGTTTTCTACAAGTATCTCATTATTAATATTTTTTTTACATCTAAACTGAAATATAACCAAAAACAAAGAGGAGAAAATTACGCAACTGATGTTGATACTTGCATGCAAAATTTCATATAAATATTAAATGCTAAAATACACTTAATATAATATATGACCAAAATAGCTATATATAATTTGGACTATACTTTTTTAAAATATTATAACTTAATTAAAAACCCTCTAAATTCAAGTATTGAGAAATGGCCCCTTCGAAAGCTCCAAGCAACTTTCACCTTCAAGATCAACATGGACATTTTTGAGCCATTCATTTCTTGATTCTCTCCCACCAAACATAAGATTTGACGAAGTCTTTCCTTATCCATCATTGATGATTATGGATCTTGTCGACGTTGCTCTATTCTCTTTTCAATAGTACTATTTCAAACAATGAATTCTTATTGGTAAACCCTTTGGAAAATCAAGATATGGATAAGCAAAAGCTTGATCTACATCCGTCAATTCCCATTGATATCTTAGTACCAAATGATGGATAAATATCGCCATCTCTAATTTGGCTAACTCTGATCCCGTGCATAACCGGGGTCCTCCCCCAAACGGCATGAAGTTATTCGATGATGTCAATGTTGCACTCCCGCTTGAAGATGCAACTTTAGCACTCTACAAAAGTAACAAAGAAAACAATATATCTTGTTAAAACTACATTTAACTATCATAATCAATACATAAAATTGACCATTTGTTTCTCTAATTTGTCTCTTTAACAACTACCAACCGCTTCAATCAATCAATCATTTAGAGTGTTTGATTAGTCTAATCTATTATCATGAGTACTTTGAACCATTATCACTTGTATAGTCAATTTTCTTTTTTCTAACTTATATATTAATAAATGTTTGAATTATTATTATTATTATTATTATTATTATTATTATTATATTGATAAGAATGAGAGGATATTGAGTATGGTGATTGGAGGAGAATGAGTGCACGTGCAACCACACACATCCCTATGGAAGAAAAGACCCCCTTTTTTAATCATCATAACTATTCACTCCTCCACCCGCACACGCACGGGGTGGCGTGGACCCATCATCATCAACATTCCTTAATGGGCCCCATTAGCCGTACACGTGCGACCAATACTAGGCCTGCTTATTTTGGGCCCCCATTCATTATACGTCCATACCTTGACTTTTCTTGGGCCCACGGCAGTTTCCTTTCGGCTCCTTTCTTCAAGTGCTCTTTTCTTTCCTTATACTCTCACATATTATATGATTTATATAATGATAATAATAAGTTATAAATAAAAAACAAATTACTCATATACTTGGATTATTGCAAAACTATTTCCTTGGAGAATATTATGACGGATGCTTACTAATTTGTCATATAGTAAGGTTGATATGCATCTTTCATATGATAGACTATAGTACATCTTTTTAAAAATATGTCAAAAGAATGAGAATTTTTTTTGTCTATAATTATGCTATTTTTTTTAATAAATAAAACGAGAATAATTGATGTGATATTATTAATTCGTTATCAAGCATAGATACCTAATTGATACTTATTATTTTATAATGTATAATAAAATATATTAAAATACAATGATTTCATGTTTATATTTGTCAAAGACAAAGATTGTCTTACGTGTCTAATTGCCAAAATTATGAATACGACGCCAATTTTTCGTTTTTGTTTTCAAGTTATGCCGACAAATAAAATTTAATATATCATTGTAGAATTTTAAGAAAATCTTGATCATTTAAATAATTATAACAATAATTGTGAATATAATATTATTAACAAAAATTTTAGTACGAACCTGCCATCGCCATGGATCAAAAAGGTGAGGTTGGTCAAAATTTGTAGGATCCAAATGCACGGCTGCGATCACTGGAAGCACTTTCCACCCACATGGAATGTCATAACCTTTTGGAAAAGTCAAAAATAAAACCTAAATTACTAAAGTTAAGGGTTCTTTTGTCATTAGACATAAGAATAGGGGGTTAAAAGAAAATAAATAAACAATTTTTTTCTTCATATATTTACCTTTATACCGCACATCTTTAATAGCCTTTCTATGAAGGAATCTCACCACATTCCCGAATCTTAGCGTCTCATTAATCACCTTCATTCACACATTTTTTATCATAATTTAGTTCCACATTAATATATTATTTGATTTAATTTGATCATTTGTATATAAAGAAAAAAAGAAAAAGCTTACACATTGCGTAAATTCCATCTTTTTGTAGTCTTCCCAACTCAAATCCTTCTCACCCGATTGCTTCTTCATCTCGGCAATTTCTTTATGTTCTTCCTGAAGTTTATACACAATATGAATTTCTCTGTTTCTTAACATTTTTTTGCTATTTAATATATATATCCCATGCATTTAATGTGCATATAACATATTGCAAAACAATAAATGTGACATGATTGATTGATATATGGCTCTTACTCTAAGTTGATGAACGGCTTTTGGACAAGTTTCCAAGAAGTAAATGGCTAAGGCTATTGAAACCGACGACGTTTCATGACCAGCAAAGAGTAAACTCAATACCAAATCAAGTATTTGCTCTTTTGAAAGATTTGAATTCTTCAATACCCATCCAAGTAAATCATCGTCTATTCCCTCTAAGTCATTTCCTTCGTGTAGCTTCTGAATCCTCTCTTCCATTCTCATTTCAATGAATTTAAGAATCGTGGCTCTTGACTATCGATATCAATTATCAAAAGCCAAAACCAAATCATGATCATTAACCTTATTGATCTATAAGAAACTAGAGAAACAAAGAAAAAGAAAATAGGGTTATACATATATATTAGTTTGTTGATATGTAATACCTTTAAAGCTTTTCTATATGCAGTTCCAGGGAAGTTTATAGGAGCTGAAACCACACCTTTCATGAAAGTTACATACTCTTTCTTGAGTTGTTCAGTCTCTGGTTTTCCGGGTTCTAAACTCATGATATGTTTCGCCATTAAATTGAATGTAAACTGCATGAAAACAAAGGAGATAAATTTGATATGATCATATGTGTATACGTATGTATAGCTTCTTGAGATTAAGTTACATATATAGTTTTTGGAATAAAAAAGTAAGTTCAATTACCTTTTTTGCTTCATCTTGGGCACAAAAGGATGTATTTTCTTGCCAAGAATCTAACACCCACAAAGTGTTCTTTTCGACTTCTCTAACGAGTTGTGTTTTGAGCCTTGCATTGGTCAAGAAGTTAAGTGAGATAAGCCTCATGTCTCGATGCATGTCACCAACCAAAACCAACATCGACCATTTTCCAAGAATTCCACCTATGCTTCTTGGATAACTACATTCGAATAATCTCCCTTCGTTTTGTAATATGTACCTATTCAAACCTGGATCCACTGAAACTATCGTTGGCTCTCCAAACAAGTTTGATTTGTATATCTTTCCAAACCTACAAATTAATTAACATATGGTTTGATCATTGCGCAAATTCTTTAAGATGGAGAAGAAGTGAGATATGTAAATTAAGAGACTTCTTGAAACTTATAGCAATATGTATATACCTTGATATGTGTTGTTCCATGAATGCTCCGATGGTGGTGGCGGAGTAGGGTTTGAGGTAACCGATGGTTTCTCCGATGAACGGCCAACCCATGTTTCCGGGTGGAAGGTTGATGGGAGGTGAAGAAGTGGTGTGTTTTCTCTTTTTGGCAAGATTCAAGATGAGAAATAGAGTTGAAATTAGAAGAGATACGTAGAGGAAGAACTCGAAGTCGGACATTTTTTTGTTTTTCGTTTTGGGTTCTTCAAGATCTTGGAAGTTGGAACACACAGTGAGTGTGTTTTGAGTGTGTGATCGATAGTGGATGGCAAGGGAAATAAATGACTTGAGAGTCCACCTTTATACAAGTACATGATGCTGGCAATGTTCCATCTGATGGAAAAGGAAATTTCAACTTTTTCGGAAGATTTTTTATGAGGAAATTTCGACTTTTACTTTTTGGAGGGGTTGTGTTGTGTTGGAACAAAAAACAAAACTTAATGTTGGTTTTCTCAAACCAATTAGCATCTTTTTTTTTCTTGTCTTTTTTTTTTTTTTTTTTTTTTTTGTGTGTCTTCTCACTTTAATCATTTAATACCACCTATTACCTAGAAAGTAAAATATATTCTTTATTTGTTAAATCCTATTGAAATGGCAATATTTTTATTTGACAGATAATTTATGCATTAATGGGCATATGAGCATATATGCTATGAGTTATACATTTACCATTTATAGAATAGCTCAAATGTTAAGATTATAAATGGGCAGAGTAACATATATCCTATGTGTTATACATTTATCATTTATGGATTAATTCAAATGTTAAGAATATAAATGGGCATATTAACATATATGCTTATGTTTTATAGATTTAGCATTTATAGATTGATTCAAATGGTAAGATTATAATGGGCATATATGCTATGAGTTATACATTTAGCATCTATAGATTGATTCAAATGGTAAGATTATAAATGGGCAGAGTAACATATATACTATGTGTTATACATTTATCATTTATGGATTTATTCAAATGTTAAGAATTTAAATGGGCATATTAACATATATGTTATGTTTTATAGATTTAGCATTTATAGATCCATTCAAATGGTAAGATTATAATGGGCATATATGCTATGAGTTATACATTTAGCATCTATAGAATGATTCAAATGGTAAGATTATAAATGGGCAGAGTAACATATATACTATATACTATGTGTTATACATTTACCATTTACGGATTAATTCAAATGTTAAGAATATAAATGGGCTTATTAACATATATGCTATGTTTTATACATTTAGCATTTATAGATCTATTCAAATGGTAAGATTATAATGGACATATATGCTATGAGTTATACATTTAGCATCTATAGATTGATTCAAATGGTAAGATCATATATGGGCATATTAAAATACATTCTATGAGTTTATAAGTTAACATTTATAGAATAATTCAAATGGTAAGATAATATGTATGATTGGCTGGTTAGGAAAACATTTAACCCATGACAATTGAGGCCCATGTGAATCTCGTTGAAAAGCTAACACCATGACGTGGGGCTGACCTATAGCTTAAGTCCATACCTTGAAAAACAATTTTGCAACTTTTTGTATTATTTAATATTGAGGTAAATATGTTAAATAGTATTGAATATACATTAGAAAACATGGGTTCAACACTCACAATAATGATGGAAAAAAGAACGTTGAAAAAGTTTTACACAATTTAAAATAAACAAAGACTATGTTTGAGCAAGCACGATGTGTTATGATTCCCTATAAGAATATGGAATAATGGCGGTTTAGTCTTATACATATATGTATACTTCATATGACAAATTATCTTAGAAAAGACAAACATCGTTAAAAAGCGTATCATAGTTGACATAAACATTAGTCTTTAGATTCATTGTATATGTATGATTTGACTGTAAATATAGATGATATACCTACCTCAAATTATGAGTTTGGCATCATTAATTCAAGCATGTGCCATTGGTATAATTGAATTGAAATGACACAATTGGTTAGATATTACACAATAATTATGTCATGACTGCTAACAAAATAAATAAAGTTAGAGAGGCTATATGTTAGCTGTGGTGGGGGTATTCTTGTGGATTGTATGGATTGTAGAAACAAAAACTATTCTCCAATAAGTCCCTAGCTATCGCATTCGTCGATGAGTAGCTCAATTGTTTAGTTAGATTTCACACATATGAATAGAGTAGTGTATCATCACATGTCATGGAGTTGTCTACGTCATTTATTGTTTCTTTCACTTGTATTATGTCGAAGTTACTTGTATCATTTTCCATCTTTCTGTTCGTCTGTTTTTATATATTTTGGTCGTTTTAAAAAAGTGTAACAACCATATCTAACGATAACAATATTGAAATAGAAAATGACACCTATATGTATATCTATATTTATATTTATTTTTAGGACAGCCCATCAAACTTTTGACGTTTGTTTTAAAATGTCACTAAACTATTTTTTTGCACATTAAAGTAATAAACTCTCATTTCCATGTTTTAAAATACCATTTTGTTACCTGCAACCGGATTCAAAGGTAATATACATATCCGGCTCTCACCTCTAACTCATTTCTCCTTGCCACTACACCTCACACCAGTCTCGCTCACTCAAAAACCCTAGGAGATTAATCGTATGTGCGAAGAAATCCGATGGATCTTCTACCGGAGAAAGTGTAACCGAGAATCGATTTTGGTTCAATTTCGACTTCGGGAAGGTTTCTTATATGAAATCGTTGATTCCAGTTGTGAGTAATCCAACATCTTCGGGTTCTTTGTTTGGTAGACGTACGGATTTCATGATTAAGAGCCACTGACCCACCGATTTCCTGATTTCGTTCATATTCCTTCCTTCCCTGATCTGCCTTTCGTTCCCCATTTCCTTCTGCCTTTACTCGTTGACCCACCAACGCCGATGTCACCCTTCTTAGTTATTTCTATTCCCTCGATTAGTGAGTACCGATGAAGAAGAGCAAAGCAAAAAAAAGGTCATCACAGGTCGACTACCCCCTGATGAATTTGCCATCACCGGGCCAAGAACCACCACCATCATCTCCTTATTTCTTCGAATCGAACGAACCCCGGAGTAACTTCTCCGACCCACCCACGATCGATGCCCATCGGAGTTGCTTCGGTGTCGTTATGTTCCTTTTCTCGTTCCTGATTAGTCGAAGGGGGAAGAAGACGATGCCCCTTCCTTAGCCGGAGCCGTTTGATAACTGATACAAGGCTTCGACCTAAAAAGAAAATAAACGACTTTTGATTTTGACCAAGTCAAAGGTCAAAGCAAAAATCAAACTTTCATTTTGTAACCTGCAATGGAGGACACACAAACTGCAGAGAGGAGGTTGGAGGAAATGAGGCTACAATGAGATTAAAACCTGTTATAGTGGGTTAAGTGACTTTTTTAAAACAAACAGGACATGTTCGATGAGCTAATATGACATTTGTCCTTATTTTTATGTATCTAAAAATCTTTTTAAAAATGTCATTTCCTCGTGGTTCAAGATAATCATAATTATGTTGAACGATGTCAATTTATTTATTTTTAAAAGTTATTGAGAGAAATGACCACAAAGGACTCATATTTCAAGATAACCATATGTTTTATGGATTGTTAAGAAATTACAACTAATCCTACAAAAATTAGGGCATGAGTTTGTCGTGTGCAATTGTTTGTCGAGGCTTTAGTCTCTTCCAAAAAAAATAAGGATGTGTGCAATATGGTTTATACAATATGCTTAAAATAACTTGCAAACAAGTCATCGATAACGGCATCAAAAACTCAGTGTATTATACACTACTTTTAAATTTATAAATTATAATATATCGTAGCTAAACTAATACAATAGGAGTGTATAGGATCCTGTAGTAGTATAGTTTTATAAGAAATGGTATCAAACACAAGGGGGAAAGGTAGGATTATATTAGATAATTTCAATGTCAATTAAACTTATAAACAAAAAAGAAAAAGGACTGTTTAAATTCAATTAAACTTAATTAAAACTAATAAAATGAAAACAAATTAGAGAATAGATTTAGAGACAAAAGAGATAATATGTTTTCATATAGATTCAAGTTTACATTTAGATATAATAGATTCCAATTAAGTGAATGAATATTAGATATTATTTATCCTTTCTAATGTAATTAGTTATTGTAATACTCTGTTTCGAATCGTTTCATAATTCGGGACCATGATTCGAGGACTGGTTTTATAATGCGCAGTTTCAAATCGCTTCAATATTCGGGACAGTGGCCCGATCATCAGTTATCATAAGGCTTAGGGCCTTGGAGAAGACAGTTTTAGACCCATTTGGATGTGGGTGGTGTTGGTTATGTGATGATAGGGTTCGGTTTGTGTTTTAGAGCCCAAGGGTATCGGTAAAGGTGTTGGTTCGGGCCTTTTATGAATTTTGGATTTAATTTCGATTTTTTTTTTTCAGATTTAAAAAAGTTGATAGAAGTGTAGGGCTTCTCATTACCTTTCCGTGGATATAAAGAACGCCAAAAACAGATAAGGGAAGCAAAAGTTATGACCATTTGAAGTTAAAAGGGTTTTAGCCCAAACTAGGTATGCATGGCGTACCAGGTGGGAATGCTTGGCATTCAAAAGGAAAATGGACGGGGGACAGCTAGGGAATGATGGGCATTCCCTTTCGTTGGGCTATTTCAAAATCTCGATTTTAGGGTTTGGTCCCTTTATAAGCATCATTATGGACCCAAACCTCTTCCATTTTTCATCGTACATCCTCTCTAACCCTAAGAACGAAACCCTAGCCCCCATTTGTGTATTTATTGAGCTTCATAGTGATTTTTGTGTGTTTTGCTTCTTGAAGAGAAAGAAGTAACTTCTTGAAGAGTCAATGCTTGACTTAGAGCTTGTGGATCCACGCTTTGCTCACCTAAATCTAACTTCTGGAGGTATAAAGTCTCAACATTGACAACTCTTTCATGTAGATCTAGCAAGTTGGTTTTGGTTATGGTTTTGGTCCCTTTGTGGTGGTTCTTGTGAGTAGAAGTTACTCCAGAACCTTTGAGTTTCATATTTGGTCCTTGTTGGGGTTATGAAGTCTTAAAGTTTGGATCTTCATGAGTATAAACATATCATGTATGTTTTGGTGGTCTTTTGGTAAAATTTGGGACTTAGGGTTTTGATTTGGGAACCATTAAGTCTTGATAATTCATAAATCTAGAACTTTATGACTTAAGAAGTCCGTTTGAATCAGATCTAGATGTTTGGACTAAGGTCTTAAGGTATAAGCTGGGATATTGGCCTCTTTATGGAGTTAGAATGCTTGAAATCATGATTGGGTCCTTTTGGACCATGGAAAGATGCCAAGTTGACAACTTTATGGGTTAAGTCAATAATATGAAGTTATTCCAAGAAAAATATAAAAAGTAACAAAAGAAATCATAATTTTACAAATCACAGAGTATATGTGATAATATGATCATGCTTTGTATTCTTTTTATCATATTTTGTAATAATAAGGAGTATGAATGAATGTTAAGAATCAGAATAAGTAAACATAAAAAAAGAATGTATATACATCATTTTAAAGAACATATATAACCTCTTATCCTACATTTTCAAGAATTTGACATCATTTCGGAAAAATATACAAAGAAAAAGTATGATATATAAGACATTTTGTAAGAATCTGTCATCATTATTTAAGAATTTGTCGTCATTCTTGAAGAATCTATATGCCCTTGTTTTTTGATGGCTTTCGCATGCCTTCATATTTACCTCTTGATGTTTGAACCTAAACACACAAATGGACATTAGATATCATATGGTACAAAAGAGGTCAAGAACATTCAAGATAAGGATGTCTAGTCACAATAGGAAAAATAAATTCAACTCCATTAGAGTTCAAAACTCATATGAATGCAATTTGATCTTCCATTGGAGCAACTACTCACTTGAGAATCAAAACCCATCACTCTGCTTTATATTGGGTGCAACTCCATAGGCAAACATACTTGTTTAAGCGTAAATTCAAGTCAACTAATAAGAATAAAGCTACCTGATTCTAGAAGAAATGATAGATTAATGAAAAATGCATCCAAACATGATAAATCATATAAATTTCTATATTTTGAACACAAAAAATTTATGAACAGATTTTAGAATACAATTAGATTTAGAAGAAAAAAAACTTGACATCCAAGTGATAGTAACGAATTGGTGATGGAAGTAAAGAGATGAACAACTTATTCGAAAAAGTAGAGGATACAGGCTCACTAACAGTAAACATCTCATTGCATGAATCTAAAGCCTATCAAAATGCAAGAACATAAACTAAAAAAGAACATAAGCTCAAAAAAGTATAAAATGACAAAATTTCACTAAAAATCATCAAACTAAAATAAAATAATTTACCTGATTAACTATAGCATACATGTTAACAGTTTTATATAGAAGACAACATCAAACACATGTACCAATAACATACGCCACTGCAGCGCAACAAAAAAAAATCCAAGAACATTACACAAAGCCTGTATGCCAAACATCATGTAATTAATCCCATAATCAAGTATCAATCCCCTGATCAACATATGTAGTTAACAAATATACCAACAGATTTATTTGAACAATGTTACATATTATGATTTATTCTTTAAGAATAGTAATGATGGACAAGGTGAAATTTCCAAGATAACGTACTAAAAACATAAGTCTTAAATAATGATTTGGAGCATTGTATTCTGTGAATATTCTGGAAGAATGGTTCTATAAATATTTTGTCAGAATGATTTTGTAAATAGTCTGTCAGAATGATTTTGGAAATATTCTTTTAGAGTGATTTTGTAAATAATCTGGCAGAATAATTTTAAATACATTTAATAATGAGTAGTCATTAGTAAGATCATAAAAAGTTTTACATATATAAAATCAAAAACCACTGAGTTGTTAGAAACTTGAAAATCACGTGTTAAGCATATCCAGTCACTTTTAGAAGCTTGAAAAATCACACATGCTTTCTTAAAATTTGAAAATCAAACATGATATAACTAGCAACTTTTATTGTTGAAATGTTTTGACATCAAAAGCCAAATACTCCTGGAATCAAATAAGTTTCAGCCAGTTCAATAGAAGATTTCATTTAGGCATATAATCGAACACTTCATGTTCATATACAAATACAAATAGATGAAATGAATCAGCAATTTAATCACTGTAACTCTAACTGTAAATCTGATCGAGAAAAACCTTACTTTGTATCTAAGTATAGATAAAACAAAATTAAGGATTGATGACCTACCAAAGTGAAACCCAAATCAGAAAATATACACACCCAGATTGTTATCATAATCAATTAGTCAAAGTACTTGATTGATATGCAAAGAAATGATATGAAAATCAAGATTTTGAGAAGAGAATATATGTAACTTGAAAGGAAATTCTTGAACCAATAGTGAAGATAAAGGTGACAATTGTCTCTAGAAAAATACGGTCGGAGAGTTACCTCTGGTGGGTCTCCTTGAGTAGTCTCTAATCGGGCCACAGGGGATGCATCTGACGTGTTGATGAATCTAGTGATATTGTTTGAATTCCACACAATATGGTGAGAGGGTGGCAATCGTGGCCTGACCTGGAGAGAAGGCGATGGAGATGGAGATCCTTTTCAATTTCTTTGATTTGAAAATATGTGGAAAAAGAACAAAAAACGGGGAAGGAGATGATAATGTAAGTTTGGTTGTTTTCTTAAGGTGGTGATTTTGTGGAAGCAGGTAATGTTAGTGATGGAGCAGAGGCAGGGGGCGATCAACATACACACGTTTGATACACATCGTAATATTTAGGGGGTGATTTTTCCTTCTGGTTTCTTCCTGAGATCGAGGTGAACAAGGTGAATGAGTGAATTAAGGGTAAAAAATAACTGATCCTCTATTTAAGGGAAATATCCATAATTTTGGATATTATTTTGGGTTATTAAAATAAATTTAAGTAAAATTCCGAAATTACATAATAATTAGAGTTTATATATGAACCTAACTCTCTCTCTCTCTCTCTCTCTCTATATATATATATATATATATATATATATATATATATATATATATATAAGATTGTTGATTTAAATTTTAAGTGTGTTTGATATTTAAGCTTTTAGATCTTTGATATTATTATCTATCGTATTAGGAAAGCCGGATGTTTAAACTCATGTAAGCATGTTCCATTTTCCTCTATTGCTTTGAATTTTAAATTCATAACAGAAATTAATAAAATAATTTTAGGTCGACTTTTCAATCTCAGTCATTCACAGAAGCCTCATTTACGTTTCATAATATTCAAGAACACATAAATTTTCATTCACAAAACCCTCTACATGTCGATATGTATATCAATAATATCATTACCAATATATACCAACCTAACTTATTGGTAGTGAAATAAATTTGTACAAATTATACTTTGTAAAGTAATAATAACAAAATGTTTATATTAGTTTTAATTGGTAAGTTACACAATTTAGGGCAAAAATATCCAAATTATACCAATTTCACCCCTATTTTTTGTGCAACATATATAACCATTTACATTTTCTATTTATTTATATTATTACATTTTATTATTTTTAGTGCGACATATAACCATTTATATTTTCTATTTATTTATATTATTACCTTTTATTTTCTTGTAGATTTGATGTTTCATGTGAACTATAAATCTGATAATTTAAAGAGTCAGAAAGATTGACAGCTTCCACGTTGTTCATGTTTCAAAGGTCATTCATGCTCCTATTAATTGTATATGGTCCTTTTCTTTATCTTTCTTTTTAAACTTTGTATTTTATAACTCTTGCCAACGCCTTGTTAGTTTTCTTTTGTTGTTATTAAATCCGCCGTCCGGAAAAAAAAATGAATTATACAACCATATCTAAATTTTTATTAATCAAACGATTTCTATCCCAGTAGTATCTGATTTTTTTTGAACTGACAAATATTATTAAAAAAAAAAAAAAAAAAAGAACCACCGCGTAGCAAGTTACTAGACGGGACCAGGAGAACAACAGATTACAATAGCAGTTACAGCAAAGATCAATGATCTCAAATACAGCTTAGAGGACATGCAAACCATTCTACCCACTTGAAATTACAGTTTGTTCTCCTATGTTTTAGCCAAGTATACACCATTGATTTCACTCCATCTATAATCTTAAAGGGGGAAATACGTATGTTTTTAAACACCCAGTTGCATCTCGATTTCCATATCAACCATATAGTGCCAAAACATATGTTGATGAAGTTATTTCTCCTCTTCACACATGATCCCCAACTATTCAAAAAACTTATGAGTTCTCCAATATCATGGAGCTACACTTGAGGAATTGCACACCATTTGAACACCAACCCCCAGACTGCAGTTGCCATAGGACAACGAATTAGGATATGTGTCATATCTTCATCCTCCTGCAAACATTGCGAACATTTAGCTTCAACCCCTCACACCCCTCTTCTTATCAGCACCTTGTTGGATGGAATTCGACCAAGATTGGCTCTCCAAATGAAAGTTAAAACCTTGATTGGGATATCATGTATCCATGGTATAATCACATCACTACTCGCCGGTTCCATATTATCCAGTTTTGATCTAAGGTCATGTACGTGATAGTTGTCCTTATTTCTTGAGGTCGAGGGTTCAAGTTTTGTCATCGATATATGTGAAATAATTTATGAATAGTTTTTCCGTTTAAAAAAAAAACAAAAATAAAATCTAAATTAAACCAAAAGTTTCACACATATAAATTGGTAAGAAGTGAACTTTATCTTATCCGTTCAACTTAAATTGAAGGACTATTTCGATAAAATGTTTTTAATAGTATAATTAATGTTGTAAATAGTTGGTTGTTATAAGCAACATTTTACCATTAGTCGTCATGAATTAGGTTATATGGAAAATGAATATTTAGGACATCAACTTAGGAGCCAATAATCAATTGACACTTGTCCAATTGTAAAAGTTATTGAAATTACAAAACACGTTTAATAATTGGGTTAAATTTCCAAATTTAACCCTTGTGGTTTTCTGAAAATTATATGTTTAGTCCAACTGTATTTGTTTAGATCGGGCAACCAACCCATCATCTTCCCTTCAGTTTCATTTTCCCTTTCCGGTTCATCATCCTCGTCTATGAAGTCTATGAAGAAGAAACCTAGAAAAAAATCTATATGTTTAAAAAAAATTAATAAAATCAAAATACACCGAGGGAAAAGGTTGGTTCCCGACACCACCTTTTACCAGATACAACATTCAAATGCAAAGCTAAAAACAATTTCATCTTCACTGTAAATCAACGATTTCTGAAAGAACACACCTACACACTAGATTTTCAAAATTTGATTTGAAGTTTAAATTTTGAACATCACCAACATCAAATGCATAAAACTGATAAAGGATAAGAAGAAAAAGTTCATAACATAAAGTGTGGAATTAGTTAAGTAGGAGCAGAAATCAGAAATCAAAATATGTATACAAAGGATCAAAAATCACAGTCGCCGGAGCAGATCCAAAAATGTTATCGCTGCCATCGTTGTCTCTCTCTTGCTCTTGATTCTCTACTTCCCCATTGTTGTATCTCCTACCATCCATACTTTCAATAAATGGCACCATCAAAAAACTTTTCTAGGTTTTCTTTTGAAAATATTTAACATTGATCTAATAAGAGAAGTCTGATTGTCGGTGAGATCGATTGGTAACCAAAATCTCACCGATAAACCATTTTGTGGGCAGCTTTAGGACAAGGGAGGGAGGCGCCGACAGAAATCTGCATAGTTGCTTCCTCAAAGGCATAGTCGATCCCTGGTGGAGGTTACAACGAAGCAACTTTCGCAAGTTTGATGAACATGCATAAATTTGGTGTAGACGAGCGGTGAGGCATCACAGAAATGAGAGAAGAAGTGTGGTTGTGTATCAGATCTTCAAAGGATAATAATAAGCGGCTAGAGTTTATTGTCGTTGGATCAGGTGCTCTTGATCCCTGGTTTTGATGTTTAGATGTTTAGGGGAACGTAAAAGAAGGAGAATATTAAACCTAAAATATAATAAAAATATAAATTACCCCCAAATTATAGGGACCATTTTTGTAATCTATTCTAAAATGATGTTTTACCTGCATATACATTTTCATATAACCCTTCTCTTGTGGTCATAACCTATATAATTTATTTGATACGATAATGTCTATTTTCCCATATTGATAGCTATTTTAATAATTTTTTAAACAATAAGATATTTTAATCAATTTATATAGTAAATTTAAACAAGAAAAATAACTAATATAGAAGAAACAACATTTGAACAGTTAAAAAGTTAGAAAATCAACCTCCTCTTCCCCCATTTAACCATTTTACTCGTAACAAATATTATTCCAGTGGGCCCAGCACCAACATTTATTGTATAGGGCCTCCTTTAGGTGTGACGGGTATATAGGGGGGCCATTGACCTCGTTTTTAAAGACTTCAAAGTTCAAAATAATATTTATAATATTATGCTTTATTTAATAGGGAAAATGATATAAATACCCTACAAACTTTCTAAAGTTTATCTTTTGAGTTGTTTTTGTCGGGTTTTATGGGTCCATTAACTAGGATATGACCTGCTCTTTTAGTCCATGTCAACCTGTAATAGCCGGTTCAATGATATTTTAAACCAAAAAAACTCACTTTGTTCTCCTATAAAGCCAAAATAATAAGTTCGGAGATCAATTCATACAAAAAAAAATCTCATTTTCTTCTAAAGCTGATTCACACTCAATTCGTATTGATCCCCTAACTTATTTTTAAAGTGGCACAAAGTGAGTTTTTTTTATCTAAATGATCATTGGACCTGCTATTACAGATTGATAGGGACTAAAAGAACGGATCATATCTTAGTTTAGAGACCCATAAAATCCGATAAAAAATTTAGGGACTCAACGGGTAAACCCTTGAAAGTTCATAAGACATTTGTGCCATTTTCCCTATTTAATATTACAATTGTACCAAAATAGAAATCAACCAATATATATTATCAATTGAACCAAAACAACTGCTATCAAATATGTTTAGTTGATAATACATTATTACTTAAGTAGTCTCAGCATAGTCACGTTATAAACTTTTAAATATTATCATTGTACCGTACAAACGATTTTTCTTTCGTTATATATATATATATATATATATATATATATATATATATATATATATATATATAATATATATATATATATATATATATATATATATATGTATAGAGAGAGAGAAAGAAAGAGAAAGAGGTTCATGTGAGACAACTATATTTTGTGATACGGAGAGACATTTTTATAGATAAAAACCATTTTTAAAATATCAAATAATTGAAATTTTTCGAAAAAAATTTTTAATATTATTTTGTCACTTTTTTTAACCAAAAAAATAAAATAAAAAAAAACAAAAATAAATAAATTATCAGTTTTTTGAAATATCTATGATAGAATATTATAATATTCTAGTAGAATATTACAGTATTTTACATATGTAACAAATCTACTAAAATACTAGAATATTCTAGTAGAATATTACAGTATTTTACATATCCAACAAATCTAATAAAATACTAGAATATTCTAACATTTTAAAAATCATATTGAAATATTTACAGTGTAAAATTTTATTAAAATATTTCACGTATTTTTCAATAAAAACGGTATTTTTTATTTTTTTAGGTAAAGAAAATGACGAAAATAATAATTAAAAGAATAATTTTCAGATTTTTTCTTTTATTTTTCATTTTAAACTTATTTTTAGATTGCGTCTTACGGTCTAATAAAATTAATATGTTCTCAAATTAATCTAAACTCATATTATATATATATATATATATATATATATATATATATATATATATATATATATATATATAATATATATATATATATATATTAAGGGCATTTTAGGCAAACTGAGCATTAAATATATTATAATAAAGAAACTTTTTGTTCCCTACTTTAGAACTAGTTGTCACTTGTGTTAGACACCTGTTGGACCACTATCAGACAGTTGTCAGGCTACTGATAGGTTAACATCAAATTCAATGGTATTTTCTAGTCGTATTCACAATTTAATAGAAAAAAACATTGCAATTTTCATTTATTTGGAAATAAATTTAATACATACCATTTTATTTTTGCAATCGAATATACAAATTTTAATAAAAATAGATTTTTCATATATATATATCTATATATATATATATATATATATATATATATATATATATATATATATA